CCCCAAAACCCCAAAACCCCAAAACCCCAGGATGCATAAGCCAATTGAGCGATTGAAATGCATTAAATTAAATCAAACTCTGGGTAAAACTAATCATGATTTGAATTTTTTCTTGAGATTAGCTACTTTACTTGCCTCTACATTCTTTTCTAATGATGTGAATAACTCATTGATAACTAATATGATATGATAATATTTATAATTACTTTTCTTTTCTCCATCCATGAGGAACTCAACAGCCATTTCAAAAGCATCACTTTAACTTAGTCCATTCATAAAATTGAATACATTCTCACTTGAGTTACTAAAGTAAAAGATTATATAAATTTCAAATTTTTACCTAACATAATCTTGCTGAGAGTTAAATGTCTTAACAATGTCAATCAAAATATCAGTTTCCAAGTTACTTCTGAATATTTTCTTTAAGTTTTGATGATCAATGCGAGAAAGATATCCCAACTTAGCTTCCAGATTATTATTTTTCTAGAGAGATTTATAGTCTCTCTCAAACTGCGAAGCAGTTGTAGGAATCTCTAAGTTATCTTTAAGGGCTTTTTCAACTGCCTCTGATCTATTCAAACTTTCAATTTTTTTAACATCTATAATATGCTTCACAGGAGCAGTTTTCTTTTTAGCTAAGTCTCTTTCAATTTAATCATCTATATTTTGCTACTATTTGCTTCGATCATTATCTTGATCATTGATCGTCTCTTAAATCTTTGAGTTCTTCTCAAATTCTTTGACAGTGTTCTATTCCATATTGAATCCGACTGATTTCTTCTTTTTTTCTGGCTTTTATGCAATGCTTTAAGTACTAGCTTAAGTTGTTGGCTCTTGCTATTTAATGATAGATTAAGGCCCTTTTTTTGTTTCAACTGGTAGTAATTGACTTAATTCTTCTTCGTATGCCTTGGATTCTTCTTCATTCTCCATAAAATCAGCAACTGACTTCTTCTTTCTTTTGTTTTTCTTTTTTTTCTTTGCATCTTCAGTCTAAACTTTCGTATTACTTTTATTCTAAAGAGATTAATTGCTTTCATTATTTGCTTCGTCATTGCCATTTTATAAAGTTTATTAAGAAGCTGCAGCTGCTGGAGCTTTATCAGTTTACGATTGTTCATCCTTATTAATCTCAACAACATTAACTTTAATTAGCCTACCTTCCTATTACTCTTCTTCCATGTTCATGAAGATACACTTACGCTTCATTTTCTCATAGGCCTCAAATTTTATCTTCTCTAGCTTTTCATTGACTTTTTTGAGATATCCAGCAACAATTGAATTAGATTCTAATTGAAGTGATTTCATTAGATCTCTTTGAGAATCTCTCAGTTTCCCTATATAGTATCTAGCTGTTCCTCTTCTCTATAAGCTCTTTAGATGCTAAGGATCTATTTTTAAAGCTTCATTAGCATCAAACTCTGCCTCCTTGTGCTTATTCATCTTTAAGTAGCTTTAGGCTCTGTTTGAGAGGACGATTTTTTTCATTTCATTGTCATTCTCAGGGATTTTATTTAAACATCTTGAATAACAGTCAATAGCATTAGCGAAGTCCAGTGACACAAAGTAAGAGTTACCCTACTGCTTTAGAATTTCAGCTTCTGCTACATGTTTTACAGTGCCTCCTCTAACCACCATCTTAGTATTTGGTCGAGCTCCTGATGTCAATTTTAGCATCTCTTCTTATGTTTTAGGTTATTGCTGCTTTTTTAGGTAATCCTCAAGCTATTACTTTTTATCCTTTTCAACATCTTCCTCATTATCAGAATTTAAGGCATCATCCTAATGTAATCTTGTTATGAATTCAGATTATACATACCACATTGAATTTGTCCCAATTCTTGTAGTAATCTGGCATTGGAGTCACATCTCTCTTGAGCTTCTTTTTCTCTTCATTATTTTCATTCTTGGTATTTGCCTTAGCCTCATTTTCAGTAAATATATCTTTTTTATTGTTCTACTATATTTTCCCCTCTTTAACAGCGTCACTTATATCAACTCTATTTCTGATTGGCGGTAAATTTGATTTTGCTTTATTCTAGAATATTCTAAGTTCAATATTAAATTCATACTTTAGTATCTTTGACTGCTGTTTATGAGCTGCCTGTGACTATTTTCTTTTCTTTTACCTTGATTTCAGAAGTCCAAGAGTTTAATTCTTGCATATAATCCTGGATACCCATTGAGTTCTCCTTGATTTGCTGCTGAATTTTAAACAAATCGTTTGGTCTTGCCATTTCAAAATTTAAATAATACTAAAAGTAGTCTCCAATATAATCTTATAAACTCTATCGGGGTTTTGGGGTTTTGGGGTTTTGGGGTTTTGGGG